AACGATATCGGGTTTTAATTGGCTCTTCATCAGTGTGAATTTCCAATTGTTATCCTCGCAGGTTTCTTCTTGTGATTGGTTGTTGGGAGTCTGTCAGAGAGTGAGAAACCCAGGGTGTCTTCGCACCATCTGTGCATGGCTGAACTTTCGCTGTTTACTCTGATCTGTGTACAGTTTGGACTCTGTCTCCTCTCCCCCATCTCTTATGCATGTATGGGTGTGTATGAGACTGTCTGTGTGTGAGTGGTGGTGAAAATCGTCAGGCAACGAAGATCATAACACAAGGACCAGGGAAGGCCCCAGCAAAAAAAAAAAAAAAATTCCAAAAAATCCGAAAAAAAGTATGTTATGCAGAAAAATAAACTGAACAACTTTTGCCTCAGGGTCACATCGAAACTCGTTACCAGATTTATAATAAAAAATAAAATTTAAAAATGATTTTTTTTCTTTTTTTTTTTTGGCCCGGCCGGGCTCTTGGTCCCGGGCCGCTCTGGTAACCTATAGGTTAAAAACCAAAACTTTGTGCATGTATCTTGTCCACGATGCCCGTATCACTTTGTGCATGTACAGGATCCTCGAACTTTTTTTTTTTATCCCGTGTTTAGGAAGAAAAAAAAAAGGGTAGTCGTTTTTTTTTTAAATTTTCCTTTCTTTTCTTTTCTTTTCTTTTTGTTTTTCCTCGTCTTTTTATATCTTTTGTGGAGGATTGTAGTTTGCTTTTCTTTTTGTTATTTTTTCCTTTTGTCAAGGAGGATGCTCAGTGAGTGCAGGTGCAACAAACTCCTTGTTTTTATTTTTTAAATAAACAAACTCCTTTGCATAACGCATGTGGCTGAACAAAGACATTGTCTTTATACAAAAAAGAAAAAAAAGACATTTTCTTCGGTGACAGGACTGACTATTCTGTGGTATGGCACAGATAAAGACAGGCAGAGACAGAGAGACGTACACAGAGACAGAGAGACCCACACAGAGACAGAGTGACAGAGACACAAACAGAGACAGAGACGGAGAAAGAGAAAGAGAGACATGCACGTTTGGGAGGACTGGACGTACAGGTATTCCGTTTGGAGGTGTGGTGATGGTTTAGATCTGGGACCGTGCTGCTTCGTTTGACTTCGATTGACTAGCACTCCGCCTGGCTAACAATTATCCTTTTCCGTCTCAACCGTAAGTATGCTGAGTTTGAGCCAATT